ATCCATGACAGGGTGTTTTAATCAGGTTTTAAATAACAGAAGTTAATTCTGCCTTGGTGGAGTGGGCCTATAATCAACCAGAAAGTGGTTGGACATCCAATAACAGCAATACCACTATTACACCAAATGGGAATACCTAACCTGACAGGTAAGTATTACAATGGACAGAATACAGTCTTTTCTCCAAGCAGCTTATATTATACCTTCTAGATTATGAGATCCAGTCAGTAGATAGGAAGCTTACAGTTCATTTTTAGCATGATTTCTCTATGTTCATTTTTAGTGCCTTCAGCTATTTCTGATGGGCAAACAATAGTAATGGCATTGGTCTGCATTCTGTTGAGGTCTCAAATATGCCAGATTGACAACTCATATGGATACCCTGTGCAAGCACTGGGATTTTATTAATCCCTAAAGCTTCTGGGAGCTACTTTATCTACTCATGCAGGGTAACTCTGTTTAAACTCCTTCTTTTCATTTTATTTTGAGTTAACTTATATGTTAACATGCATCATGTTTCCTTGTGACTTTTTAATATATCTGTTGTTTTAGGTGATCTCCCTCTCTATCTTCCATCTCACTGCATGCCAGCATCATCCATTTTCTAATTGTTCTTTCTCTTTCTTGTTTATTCAAGTTCACTTTTTCAATAGCATGCTCCTTTCACAATGTTAAGGCACTCATATCTTAACAATTGAAATTTTTACCTTCACGTTTATGTCTGTACCAGCACTTCCCAGTGTCTCTCACTCTGGCTTATTACCAAACTTCTCTAATAAGCTCTCTCCTCTCAATATACATCATTTGGTTGTGACTCAAACCCCTCTAATGACCCACTTCTTACCATTGAATTCATCTTGTTCAATGAAGGGGGCATCCACGTAACCCCATTCTTAGCTGATACCCTCTTGTGCAGTGTAGTGAGTATCCATAAAGCTCCCATCTTACCTGATCATCTTGTTCAGTGTCCTTGGAACCATCATAGTATCCAGTTTGCCTCCAGAATTTTCCTTTTCTCCCTTTGGAGTCTTTATTTCTTTTGGGTCTTAATTTCTCTGACCAAGTATCATGTTTATCCAAATATATGCCAGAGTGTTGTAAGACTTAGCCTAGGTATACTCTTCATTTGCAGAAGGCACCTCAAATTCAAAAGACTTCCATGAAATTCAAGTTCATTCATCTTGCCCCATTCTTGTCTTACTCTCATGATTCCTTTTATAGGTGATGTCATTATCTTCACTGGAGATCATCAACCAGGAGGCTGACAATTCTATTTGTTTCCTCTATTTCTCCTGACCAGCACTATGTCCATTTTGCCTTGTTCATTTTCTGTCTTTGGCATTGTTCACCCCTGTCTGCTTCACTCCATCTCCTCCACTCTTGTCCCAATTTTCCAGAGACCACCACACAAACTTCCAGATTTGTAGATATCCTTAATTATATCCCTGAAAAATGTGTTGCCTCTTGCTGCTATGATGAATGGCTTTAATTTAATGGCTTAACAGAACCAAAATTTGTCCTTGTATCTTTGTAGAGTTCAAAGGGAGGAGCTGGCAGGCCTGTGTTTCTTCTGATGGCTGAGAGCAGGTTTTCTCTCTGGCCTCTTCCAGCTGTTGGAGCTCACCAGGCTTTTTTGGTTTCCGTCCCTTTCTTGCCCATCCTACTTCCATTATCACCTTTCTTCCCCGACCGCGATCTTGCTGTCTCCATCTGCTAATGGCCCTTAGAGTTAATGTAGATAATCCAGGTTTCTCTCTCAACTTGAGATTTTAGTTTATGCCTACATGTGCTCTTTGCCATGTCAAACAAGGCATTCACTTGCTTCAGAGGTGTGCCACCCCAGTGTTCCCTTATCTCAGTCACCTCAAGGGGGTCCTCCATCAGTCTTCCTCCCTTAACCTGTGACATGAATTGAGCCATCAGATCTGAAGCCTAACAGCATGCCCAGAGCGCTCTAACTCAGATTTGAACTTGCCATCAGCAAGGCACACCTACAGGCACATTCACTTGCATGTATCAGGCTTCAGCTTCTCCATCCAACAGTCTGTGGTCAGATGCTGGCAGGAGCCACGTGGGTCTTACTGAGGCTGGAAATTTGCATTCCAACTCATTCTGTAACTTTTACTTTATTCTATAACTTTTGCCTCTTGTATATGACACAAACTTTTTCTTTTGGCTTAAGATAAATAATGGGTTTGACAGAACAATAACAACAACAACAACAATAAAAACCCTTTGTGAAAGTTTGAATAACTTGAGTTTGAATTGGGGGAGAAAACAAATAACACTATTTTCTCTGGAAGTGATGTAGAAAGAGAAAAATTCCTCCATATTAGGGTTTTCAGAGTCCCACCTACTTTTGTTTATTCCCATTTTATTTTTGTGACTAGGTTGATGTGTGAATATCTGTATACTTACATTCAAGTCCACTGGAGACCAGATTAAGAGGATGCAAGATCTCTTTGAGCAGGAGTTATGGGTGTTTGTTATCTACCAGATCTGAGTGTAGGGAACCAGACTCTGGTCCTCTGCAAGAACAGCAAGTGCTCTGGACTCTCCAAGACCAGAGTTCCATTTTACATAAACAAGTTTTCTATTAATCTATTTTATTAAGTTAAGTGACAAATAATGTTATCTCAATTATAGTATCAGTGACAATTAGCTTTTTTTCATTTTGAAAGCCTCAGTTATACATTGGAATTTTATATCGCTTCCCATGGTTATTTTTACAGTTAACTATCAGAAATGTTCCCCCAATAACACTTAAAACTGACTGAAACATTCAGGTACTAAATTTTTGGTGGAAATAAAAAATAAATGCAATGTATAAAAAGAAAATTTCCCCTTAAATAATGAATTCAATGGTAAAATAAAAGAACAGTTGCAAGAAGCAAATGTGTCTCTTTTGTCCCCCAAAGGAAAGATGAGAATTGAGGAATGTAATACTCTTTGTTCAAAATTTAAGACCGGTAGAACATAAAAGCAAAGAGGGTAAAAGGCATCCTGGAAAGCTGGAATGGGAAAGAAGTCTGGAGGCTTTGTAGATGTAAGCATGGAAGCATTTCTTAGGAAATGATACATTCCCAATTAAAGCTGGCTATAACACAAAAGGTTATTTCATCAGTCGATGAACTTTTAACCAGGAACATCTGGAAGTTAAGGTTTTAATTAGGCATGATTAGCACAACAAGGAAAAGTTCTTATATGTGGACACATGGTACCTGGGAGAGGTGGGTAATTATGGGAAGTCTGAACAGTTTGGGGTTGATTGAGAAAGCTGCTACTTACACATGAAAAGGCTACTCATCCCAAGACTGCCTTACAAATATTGGGTATCTAATGCTGCATACTGGCCACTCTGTGAACAAATGCATATAGACCCAGGCAAAGGCAAATCACAGACTCAATCCATTCCCTCTGTGGAAACTGAAGTTCTTTATGTGAAAGAGAAACTTTTTCTTCAAGCTAAACTGAGGTGTTCTTGTTTGCTTGGCTTATGGTGGTGTTGTTGTAGTTGTGAGATGTTGTCTCTTTGTGTAGCTCACACTGGCCTCAACCGCCTGAACCTGCCTCAGCTTCTCCAGTACTGGGGTTCCGGGCAACACCATCATGCAGACTGGGATCCAAGCACTTTAGTGTGAATGCCATCTGACACATGACTTTATTTTCTACTGTTAAAACTTCAAAGCAGAAAAATATTAAATGACATGTGAATATCTGGACAACCTTAGGGTATTAAATTGTCTTGTCTTTATTATGTGAACCTCCAGCCTTTCCAGAAATATACAGATCATAGGCACTAAGCATTAGCAGCATTTCAAATTGCTGAGACCTTTATATTGTCTTCTATATTTCTTTTGTAAAATTATCTGAAGCAGGGAGAACATGGTAGAATGTGTGTGTGAGGTTTTAATTCATTATACACACCATAAAACCTTTCTCTTTCTATTATCTATGAATCATCCATCTGTCCATGTGTCACTTATCTATCTTCTAGACACCCATCTGTCATGGTGGGGATCTAAAGCGCCCTCCAAATGCTCCTGTTTTAAATGCCAATTCCTTGTGTGGTGGTGGTGGCCCTACTAGGGAGTCAGTGTAACCTTGAGGAGGTGGGGTCCAGCTGGTGTAAAGGTTTCTAGTGTCAGGCATTTTATGCTCAGACCCTGTATCTCACCTTTCTCTGCTACCTGGCCATCTCTGGTATGAGGAGCTTCTGCTATATGTGTTTTCCTCGACTCTCTTCGTGGTGGTCAATAGAAGCGTCTGTAACCATGAGCCAAGATAGGCTTTCCTTCTTCAAATTGTTTCTGTGAGACATTGGGATCAAGTGACACACAAATAAGGAAATCCACACCAGAGAGATGCAGCTGTGTTTGACTAAAACTGATTCTGTAATTCATAGACCTTTGGAACTGGTTTGTAAAAGGAATTTGGAAAATGTGGAGGTATAAGCTAGAGAAGCTGAAAATTCAGTAAGCAGGTATCACTAGGTGGTTCTCAGGGAACTGAGAAGACCAGGACATTCAAAGAAAGGTGGACCATAAAAAGATGCTTCCAGAATCCCTGGAGTGAGTCTTTACTAAGAATGGGTATAGTGGACACTTGTGTTACATTCTGACAAAGAACTGTGCGATGGCCTGAAAATTTAACTGAGGCTAAACTCAAAAGTAATAGACTAACTTTAGGAAAGAAAATTTCAGGCAAGTATAGAATGCATGTCTTGGCCATTATGACCTTTCCTTTGGTTTGGTTTATGGTGAGGACTGTCGTGGTTATTGCTGACTTTCCTTTGCTTTGGTTTATGGTGAGAATCAAAAGCATGAAGGATGAAAAGCATTCAGCTGATGAGGACAGGTAGCTCTGAAAGTGGTGAACAAATTAGATGTGGTTGTTAAAAAGATTAAAATGCAGCCACACCATTTGTTCTTAGAGACTATAAAAGGTGCTTAGAAGTCCACAAAATAGGACAATGTATAAATGCTTCAGATTTCCTACAGGGATACCTGAGCAGATGATGCATGGAGCCAGGGATATAGACATCTACTGAGAAAACCTGCAGATGAGGAATGGAGCTGGTTTAGCAGTCCCCAGGGTTGGAAATGGTAAGAACATAGGAACTGCACTGACCAAGCCAACCGGCATGTCATGAGACATGAGGCTCACTGCCAGATGTCTTAGTTATGGTTTCTATTGCTATAAAGAGACACCATGACCACAGAAACTCTTATAAAGGAAAGCATTTAATTGGGGCAGGCATACATAGTTTAGAGGTTTATTCTGTTATCATTATGTTGGGAAGCATGATACCACACAGGCAGAAGGAGCTGAGAGTTCTATATCCAGATTGGCTGACATTAGAAAGAGAGAATGAGTCTCTGGGCCTGGCTTGAGCTGCTGAAACTCAAAGCCCATTCCCAGGGATAGATATATTTAATCCAAGAAAGCCACAGTAAAAGGCCATGTGTCCTAATCCTTTCAATGTCACTCCCTATGAGCCTATGATGGCCATTTTCATTCATACCACACCAGACATGGAACTCTGTGATTTAATGTTTGCCCTATTGTTTTGGTTCAGTCTTCCCTTGCTAGCCTTATTTTTAGAATAGGAATGTTTACTATGCTCCATTGTGTATAAGAAGTATATGGCGTGCATGCATTTAATTTTACAGGGTCTCACAGTAAGTATGGCCCTGAGTCTCAGTAGAAATTGGGGGACTTAGACAACAAGAGTGGAATTGTTGAGACTATGGAGACTCTTGAGTTGAACTAAATATATCTTCCTCATAGGACTCTAACTCTGAAATGTCTCTCACAGGCTCCTATTTTGAATATCTATCCCTGAGCTCTTGGTCCTATTTTGGCAGTCTGTGGATCTTTAGGGAAGTGTTTTGATGGATGAAAGAAGGTCACTGCGGAGGATGAGTTACTTGCTGTTGTGTTTCCTAGCCTGTTGAGATGAGAGGAACCTCAGGAGCATCTACAACACAGTCCTGCTACCATGAGCTCTGCTTTTCGGGCCGTGATGACACTGTGAGTTCAAACAAACCTTTCTTCCATTGAGTTTTTTTCGGGGTATGATGGCCACAGCAACAAAAACATAGCTAATTGTCCATCAGTTTATCTGTTGTTGTCATCTGCTTATTACCTTCCTATCATCATCCTATGTAAGTTTATCCTGGGTGAAACAATTTTTAAAAATGTGCATGCAAACATTCAAAACATGTGTCAGTGAAAGGCATCACAAAAAAATGTTTTTCAAAAATACTCTGAACCTAGGTGTTTTTCTCCAACTACAATACTTTCAAAAGATACATTTTGAAAAGGTGATTAGTAGATGACAAAATAAAATATTTAAGGTATTTGATAAATACTAGTAAATGAATGTTCAAAAAGATTCTGTCAGTTGCTCAGATAGATAACCATCAAAAAATACTGAAATGCTTTGTGTTGTTTTTCAGCTTTTAATTAAGTCTTTTCTACTTCCTTAAGTGGTATTGTATATGTGTTTGTGCATGTGTGTGCATGTGCTTTGTTAATTTGAAAATCAATATTTCATTTAGAATTGCATTGACTTAACTATTAACAAGTTGAGAATGCTTACATGGCTTTTTATTTATTGATTTGGGGGGACAATTTGTGAATTTTATTCATTGCTTGTTTTTGATCTCGGGAGAATGATTTTTTGTTTATTTGTATGACTTTAAATTATGAAGAACTTTATAATATGTCTATAAAGTATATGTGAATATTTTTCTAAAATATAGGATTGCATTTAAATTCCTCTATAAATAATGAGTGACTTCATTTTTCTGTTTTGCATTGCATTTTAATATAACATCTAATTTTCCTGATTATAAAAGATTCATTGAATTTAACTTATTTCTGTAAAATGCATGAACTATGATATTCATTTTTTCTCTAAAGACAAAAATTATAACTCATGTGAAGAAATTTTAAATCCCTACATACTACTTTTACATCATACTGAAGCCCTAGTTTTGTAAAATGAGGAAATTAGTAGCTAACTCTTTGCTACTTATTTTCCTAAGTCATTTATGACTTTTGTTTGTCAAATTATTTTATTTCATAGAACTAATTCTTTTGATTTTTCCCATGGTTTTTCATCTTAAATAATTTATTTTCATTAAAATGGGATTCAACGCCAATTAGTTTTCTAAATAAGATTCATGAGTGCTACAATATTTGAATTCCTAGGAATTTGATATAATTTAACTTTTCTTTATATTTCCTTCTGAACACTGGAAATATGGTGATAGAGTATTATTTCATTTGATGAGGCAGTAAATCTTGTCCATGAATTTTTTTCTCCATTTCAACTCTTCATTCCTTCAACCACCACATTAAAAGATCTCAGGTCTTAGTTATGGTTTTTATTGCTCTGAAGAGACACCATGGCTTACAGTTTCAGAGGTTCAGTCTGTTATCATCATGGTGCGGCATGGCAGCATACAGGCAGACTGTGCTGGAGAAGGAGCTGAGAGTTCTACATCTTGATCTACAGGCAGCAGCAGGAGACTGTGTGCTACACTGGGTGTAGTTGGAGCACATATGAGACCTGAAAGCCCACCCCACAGTGGCACACTTCCTCCAAAGAGGCCACATTTGCTAATAGTGCCACCCTCTATGGACCAAGCTCTCAGACACACATGTCTATGGGGCCATGCCTATTCAAACCACCACAGTGCTGATGCTTAGCTGGTAGTTCATCTTGGAACACAGGAAACACCTCCATCAGGTGGTTTACATTTGTCTTTAATGTCAACAGTTCTTTCAAATCTACACAGTTATATGCATTTCCAGACTAGCTCATCATATTCTGTTTATATAACACAATCATTTGTCTGTTTTTCTAGCCTTTATCCTTTGTCTTCTAATTATTGAAATCCTGGCACTTCCTATTCTCTTCCTTGTGATTTTCTTAACATTGAAATTTAAGATAGACTTTCACTGTTCTCTCATGGTTTTTCTTTCCCTCCTGTCAAGTCTCTGATAGGGTCTCACATGATGAATTTTCAGTTTCTCTCTCTCTTTCGCACCCGTCTTTCTTTCTCCCTTTGTCTCTTTTCCTGTGTCTCTCTGTCTCAGTGTCTGTCTCCCTCTTCTCTCTTTCTCGTCCCGTCTCTTTGTATGTCCTTCCTCCATCTTTCTCATTCTTTCCCCATCGTCTCCTCTCCAGCTCTGCCTCTTTCTCTATTCCTCCTTTCCATCTGTTTCTGAGATTCCTTGTCTCTTCTCTCCCTTTGCCTTTATTCTCTCTCTTCCCTCTGTTGTCTTATCTCTTTCCCTGTTTCTCTTTTGCTTTCTCCGAGTTTCCCTGTTGCCTTTGCTCTCTCCCATGTCCCATCTCTCTGTTGTTTGAGATGATAGCAGGGTGCAGTGCCCTCTCCTGTGTAACACTTGGTTTCAGTGGGAGAAGGTCTCATGAAGGAAGCCTTCCCCTTAATATCCTAAGGATGAGACAGTCTTATTTGGGTGAGGCAGCTGTACCCAGCTCTGGCCTGCCTCTACAACATGCTGCATTTAACTGGAGGTTCAGTGTGCTCACGTTAGGCTGTGTTCTCTTGAACCTTATCAGCCCATTTCACAAAGGTGAGTTCCCTGGCACTCTGTGTACCCCTCCCATCCAGTCTGCTTCATTCACTAAGCTAGGACACTACAGATGATGACAGTACTGTGTTTTTCATTTTCACTTTGTCTGCTCCTATATGTGGTTGAGAGCTGGGTTCCCTTGGAGACTCTCTCTTTGTCTAGGGTTCTGAACTCATCCTCTGCATCACGAAGAACAGGGTTGGCTGGATGGCCTCTTGGGATCACAGCTCATTTTCCTAAGTGTATCACAAAGCTGTGTGACCTTTTGGGTTCATACTTCATCGTAATGAATTCAGGCTGTAACTGGGATCTAACACAGAAATGTGTTTTGATTTTGTAGAAGTCACTTTGTGTTGCTTAATAACTTGGTTTCTTACATGTTTTGCTCTATTCTTTAAAGGAACAGAATAAATAACTACCTTAATAAAACTACACTCAACTCCTGAACCTTTTTCTTAACCTAACTCATCTGGTTGAATCATTCTATAATTTAAAAATAATGAAAGTGCTTTTAATATTAAGGGGAAAATTCCCTTCCCTTAATCTCCATTATGATTTGAGGATTAGCCATAGGATAAACTATTGTTCCAGTTAATAGAAATTTAGAGCAAAATTAATTTATGATTATAGCTCAAAAGTGAAAAATAAAAGAGACTTAAATCCTAAGGGCTTACTGAACCCTGTTTAAAGGTTACAAAAACTCACTGTAAATGTTACTGAGAATTATTTTATATAAAGAATGGAAAGGCTAATATACGCTGGCATGAAAAGGGAGAAATCAGATTAAATTAAGATTTTATTTATTAATATGTAGATTAAAATAGTGATAGAAGTTTATGGCAAAAATCCAAGGTATCCTCCCACCACGGGTCATTGTTTGGGGATCATTTCCTGATACAGCTGTGTGAAGACACTTATGAAGAGCTGTGGCACTAGTTCCTCCCCCATACCTGTGGTGGCTGTCACAATTCTGACCACTGTCACTGAGGTCATGCAAAGCCTGGCAGAGGGACTTTCAGATCGTGTGTGTCTCATCATGGTTGCTGTTACTATTTTTTGACAATGTGGATCTGGAGAGACAATGGCACAAAAGTTTCGCTCTGATCGCAGTGTTCGGGGTAAATTTGAGGCAAATCAGTTCAAAACGGATCAAAGAGGTGACTGTTTCACCAAGAGACCACCCACTCACTAACAAGGAGCCACAGCCGGCGTGGAGGTGAATCAGGAACATGTTTGTATCTGACCATAGGATTGGTGGAGCTGGTTCTAGCAGGGACTCATGGGAAAAGTGCTCAGGTCTCGCTTCCGGAAGAGCATAACTACGAGGGCCAGAGAAGGGTCTCTGATGCTGCCTGGCTACTTCCTGTAAAATCATGAAGGACTAGCTGGGTGTGAATTAACTGCCTCCTTTTCCACGGTTTTCCCTGGAAACAGAACTACATTTCATGAAGATTATATCAGACTGAGGAGCAGGAGAGCAGATGTTCTTAGAGGAAAAGGAGTTAGGTATGCTTTATATTATGTACTTTACTGTGTGCTGTAAAGTGGAGCTACATCTGTTACAAAACAGGCCCTCAAACCACAAAGCAAAAATAACAACCGGAGACATGGTAGAAACATAGACCTCAGGATTTCACAGGGCTTCCACAAGGCCAAAGAGGGCTGCCCCCCTGAGCATCTCCTGCTGCTGCTGTGGTGGGGTGTGAGTAGGTTCTGTGTTGAAAGTTTGGCCCTCAGCTGGTGGAGCTATATGGGAGGTGGCAGAGACTTGAGAAGTGGGCTCTAGTTGGAGGAAACTGAGGGTGTGCCTTTGAAGGATGTACCTGGCCACTGACCCCTTCATCCTGAGGAATCTGTTCTTCTACTCATCTCCACCACCAAGGTGTGCAGCCCAAGATCATGGAGCAAATCAACAAAGACTGAACCTTTGGAAACTGTTGGAATAAATTCTTCCTTAGGAATTTTGTTCTCATTCATGTAAAAGTGTATAAGTGAATAATACAACTAGTCTTTCTCTGTCGCTCCCTCTCACACAAACAGAGAAGGGTGGTAGACAGACAGACAGATAGACAGACAGAAGCAGAGAAAGATATAAAGACAGAACACTAAGGAAAATTTTCCAGATTTCAGGTATTTATCATTCCCCTTCCTGGTATTTCTTCTTCCTGTTTCACTTAGACAGAGGAAGTCATCTCTAGAGGCCTCTGGATTTCTTCCTTTGCAGTTCCTCAGGTAATATCCTGTGATTTGGTCTTATTTTGCTGCATGTGACCACGATAAGTTTAGATGATGACATTCAGTCACATCACATGGCAAGAAGATGTTTACTGAGAACCAACATGGAAGGGTCTACACTGCACGAGAAGTCTGAGCCCAGGGACCAGGAAGCAGATGAGAATGAGGTAAAGATTGTCCAGAGT